GTATAAAGAAGTTTTTTTTAATCTAGATGGGACACAGAGGAAGGAGGGGACAGAGGCAATAACATTTATATATACACACACACATACGGAAAGGGGAAAAGAAGAACAACACTAAAAATAGATTCAGCATTTTTTTCAAACTAATTTGCTAATGGAGCACTCTCTCCTTTCCTATGAGTTTGTTTCCTCTGTCAAACCAAGTGCATTCCTCATAAGTCAGTTTCAGTGTTTTGGCTTACTGATTAAACTGATCACTACTATTACAGAAGCAAAACAGACCACATACGAACAGTGGCTTAGTGGGAAAAAATAGCCCAAATGTTCTGGGAAAGTACAATACAATGACAATTCTAATAGGGAGCATACCACAATGACTAAACTCAGTCCTCAGGGAAGACCTTCTATAGATAATGAGAAGTTGATGAGGGAGGAGAAAGACAGGCAACTGTGCTATTTATATATAAAATATTTAATGTTAAAAGTGTTGGTCTGGGTGAACATGTACTGTGACAATGTAAATGTTATCTACAGTACATAACTAGAAGATTTACCCCATCTTGCTCAGGAGTAATGAGCAGTAATTACAAGGAGTAATGGTAGCTCGAATTAGAAAGCCTAATTCGAACTACCTACTCCATGCCGCATGTAGCCACGGGCACTGAGTCCGCACTAAGGGGGATTTAAAAATGGTGGTGCCCAGCAAGATGCAAATGAAGCCCGGGATATTTAAAGTTCGAACTAGGGTGGCAGTGTAGACATACCCTGACTGCCACCAACACCATTCAGCACTTACACACTACAGCCAACCAGGGCGGCCAGTGAGCCTAGGTGAGCTAGCAGCTGCCTAGGGCACCGCTGGTCAGGGCTCCCAATGATGACGTCATGGTCATTGACGGCCGTGCAGGCAGGGGCGCTGGAGCTGGCTTTAAGCAGACTCCCCACAAGCACCAGATCTGCCTCCCCGCAACTGCTGCCTCTGATAGAAAGGCAGCAGCGTGGAGGATGAGAGGGGCAGACTGGAGCCTATATGCATGGAGAGCCAGATTTCAAGCCAGCCCCCTGCATGTATCACAGGTGTAGGCAGGGCCATTCAAGATGTTGGAAAGTGGTCAAGGGCTGCACTCTTCCATAATATTAATGGAGGAGATGCGGGGTCTGGGATGGAGGTTGGGTGCAGAAGGGAGCTTGGGGTAAGGGATTGGGGTGCAGGAGGAGAGTGGGGTGCAGGAGAAGGAGGCAATTGTGACTTAGGGTAGGGGACTGGGATGTGGGGCTTTGGTTTGTGATCTAATGGAGGGGAATAGGGTGCAAGAGTTTGGGTTGTGACCTATGGTGGGAAGGGGATTGGGGTGCCAGATCTGGGAGGAGGTATGGGTGCAGGAGGGGGACAGAGGGTTGGGGTATGTTGAGTGGGAGGCAGAGGGTTGAGGAAGGGAGGGGCTGGGATGCCAGCAGCAGGCTCTGGCCTGGAGACTTACCAGCCAGAATGCAGAGCTTAAAAAGTTTCTCTGCCTGCCTGCCTGCCCACCCGCCCCATGCCTACACAGGCTGCAGGTCCACGTGCCTGTGTGAATAACTGAGCCGGAGGGGGACGGGTGTGATGCTTTGTGTGCTGCATGTTATTCAGACAGGCAGCTCCCATTGGCCAATTTCTGGCCAGGTACCGGCCAATGGGATTGTGCTGGGGGTGGAGGCAGCACCTGAAACCTTTACACCCTCCCCTCCAGATTCACAGTTTTGAAAGAGAAATGGCCCCACAGCCGCTTTTCTGAGCAGTGTGCAGAGCTGTGGAGCAAGCAGGGGAGCCTGCCTGTGGCTCCTCGCTGCATCCATGGGCTGGATCTGGTGGCTTAGTGGGCCATATTCAGCCCATGGACCATAGTTTGCAGCTCCTGTGGGCCTGCCTACCCCCCTTGTGGACTCCTACAGAAGCAGTGGGGGAGGGGAGAGTAGGAGCCAGAGGTGGGGAGAGCTGGCTCAAAAACTGGTTCCCCCAGCATCAACTCCACTGTGCCACCTGCCCCATCCCCATGCTGCTATCTCTATCAGAGGCAGCAGCATGGGGTTGGGAAGGGCGGGGAGGCTACTGAGAAGCAGCCCTTCTCCATGGGAGCCTGAGCTCCCCATGGACAGAGACTGCTCTGCATCCTATGGAAGCTGCTCCAAATTCCAAGGAGCAGCCTCTATCTGGTGAGTCTGGGCCTGCCATGGACATAGGCTACTTTGCAGCAGCAGCCCCTATCCACGGCGGGTCTGAGCTCCCTGAAGACAGAGGCTGCTCCCCACAGAGCAGCCTGTGTCCACAGAAAGCTGGGCCCACTGTGGACCGAGGCTGGTCCATGGCTGCAACCTCTGTCCATGGGGAGCTTGGATCATGGTGGACAGGGACTGCTGCCACCCTACATTGCTGCCTCTCTATCAGAGGCAGCAGGCAACCAGTCTGCTTGGGGACCTGGTTTTTAAACTGGCTTCCCTTGCCTGGCACCCCTTGCTGCCTGGCACCCCTTGCTGCTGCCTCTGATACAGAAGCAGCAACACAGGGAGGTAGGGGGCACCCCAGGAATGGAAATGGGAGTGCACTGGCTGCTGACTATCGTGTAAATGATAAGATTTCATGTGGTTACATGACTATTCAATTACCCGATATCGACTATTCCTACAGACTGGCTGCTGGCCCCACTCCTGGGGACTATTGAATAGTCATGTAACTGATAAGAATGCATGTGGCTACACGACTATTCAATTACCTGATATCTAACATCCCTACTTTAAATTATGGTAAGAGGAAGCTACATACCAAAGTTGGTGGTCCTAGCTCTTACCGTTTAGGAGGAGTTCTTGAACAAATGGCCTCACAGCTGGACGGACAGACAGTCACACATTCTAAAATATATAGTAAGATGACACGCATTCATTATTTAATGATAAATTATAAAATGTTTTCTGCATGAATGGAGAGTGCTGTGTGTTCTGTTGAACAAATGAACATACGGTATAAATCAAGGTTTTAATACTGATAGTCTAAAATACATACAATGAGAAACCTAACAGTGTGCTTGGTGCTACACAAAAACAAATGAAGAAGAGATGAATGTATCATATCTGCATATATGTGTGTGTGTGTGTGTGTGTGTGTGTGTATCAATGCAGATGAATAGCATTACAGTATCATAGGCTGATTTTTCCCTGGATCTCTGCCTTGTTCAGTGTGTCGGTTGGACAGTGCTGAGTGAATGAGACAACTATACAATAATTATTTTTTATTCTTATCTCTGTCTCATTCAACTCATACTGAACGCAAATCCCTGCCTCATTCACTATCCAGCTTTCATACTAAATAAGGGAAAATAGTGAGAACATGGTGTGAAATAATATTATTACAGAATGCACAAATAAAGTGACAACCTTAATTTTGGCATTTCCAATGGTGTTTCATTTTGCACCCTTAAGTTTCTTTTAATCTATTTTGTATATGGAATTACTATAAATCATATTATGATTTATTTATTTTCCATCAAATTCTTTGCAGAGGATCAAGAATCTGTTGATACTCTGTAGATACATATTAATTGAAGAGTGTTTTGCATTTTTAGAAGGTCAAAATGATATCCTCATGGAGAAACTAATACAGTATTTGGATCTAATAGGATAGGATATGAATCTGCATGTATTAAACAAGTTCTCACAAATCTTACACTGTTCTGATAGACCTGGACACAACGCATCTTAAGTATTGTTATTCCTTCAATCACTAATTTAAATGATAACCTCCTTTATTACCTGGAAAGTGTCTATTGTCAGAAAACATGCTGCTATTGTTATTTTGATGGGCACTGGGAAGAATTTATCTTTTCATAACCTTAACTGTTAAGTTTCCTAGCATCTCATATGTAGAATATGAATGTAAGAGACTAGTTGACTATGCAATAAGAAAAGCTTTTTGGATAGTTGACTAGTCCCTCGACTAATTGCTTCCCCTCAAATAGAGGCAGCAAGGTGGGGGGAGCAGGAGCTGGTGCTGGAGGGAGCTAGTTTAAAAGCCAGTTGCCCCCAGCATCATCTTCGGGGGGAGGGCAGAGAAGGCAGGGGGGATAGCGGGGACTGGGCGCGAGCCTGGAATCAGCTGATTTCTGGCTTGTGCCTAGTTCCAGACGCTGCCTCTGCTGGCAGAGAAACCTGCTGGCTCTTAACACATTTAAAAATCAGAAGTGCAGTAAGGGGGACCTGGCATGAGCCAGGACAACTGATTCCTGGCTCATGCTGAGTACCCCATGCTGCACTTTAGCCTTTTAAATGTATTAAGAGCTGGCAGGCTCTTACTACATTTAAAAGGCTGAAGAGCAGCAGGGGGGATCCAGCATGAGCTGGGACAGGTGATTCCCAGCTTGCGCTGGGTCCCCTCCACTGCGTGCCAGCTTTTTAAATGTATTAAGGGCTTGTTGGCTCTTAATAAATTAAAAAGGCTAAAGCACAGCAGGAGGGACCCAGCGCAAGCTGGGAATCAGCTGTCCTAGGCTTACACAGGGTCCCTTCAGCTGCGCTTTAGCCTTGTAAATTCATTAAGAGCCAACATGCTCTTAATACATTTAAAAGGCAGAGCTGCAGCAGAGATAGCTCCTAGGGCAGGAGCTAACCCCATTGTGGCTTTCTGGCTTATCGACTAATTGATGGAAAATCCATCGAGTAGTTGATTCGTTGAGTAAACTAAATTTAACATCCTTAATGTAGAATAGGTAACAATAATCTGTTTGTGAGGTTCTTTTCTAAAATCATTTATCTTTGAATCCAAAGGACTACTTTTTGATTCTTTTCCATTCTGCTAGGAATGTTTTGTTTGTAACATCTGATCTAACTGTTCATTTAGTAGGGTACATTCATTCACTTAGTAGGGTACATTCATTCAATCACATTTTGTCACACACATTTTGAACAATTGTAACTCCTATCAAAGACTGTAATATGATATATTCCAAACTTTGTTGGGAGAGCTGCACCTTGTATGAATAGTCTTTCTTTTGTTCTTGGTGCAAAACTTTCCTTTCAGTAGTGATGATTAGGGCCATCTTGCTGGTGCCCAATGCATCTTGGGGAGAAGGCACAAAGGTAGCTGTAAACTACCCTTTCAACTCTGTGATCCTCATATCACTAGGCTCATCAAGGCAGTTGGTTGTAATGCCACTAATGGTAAAAAGCTTGTTGCAGAGGAAGATACTGTAAGTTACCAGCACCTTAGGCATCATTAATGTGCCTACATCATAGATGGTAGATACCTACATCATAGTGGCACATTAGAGTTTTTCAGTATGTCACCAGGTACTCACTGTTGGATCAGGAAGACCTGCCTACCACAGATATGGTAGGAAAAAAAGAAAGACAGAGATAGAGTAATTACTTTCATGGGCATTGAGAGTGATTTAGGGTGCGATCACCCCCTCCCCAGAGCGAGAGGGGAGCTTGGCGAACCCCTTTCACCCTCTTCCCGCTAGTATCCTGCCCAGGGCCCCTGTTCGTACGCCCTGTCAATTAGGTGCGATCACCCCCTCCCAGGAGGGGGGGTCAGCGGACCCTGCAGCTATCACCCGCCTCTGCGGGTTGGGCCCTGAGCCCCCCGTCCAGTCCCTCCTAGTTGACTGTCACCTGGTCCCATTGCACGCCTGAACCGGCACTACCCGGGCTTGAATGCTCCTCGGGGTGAGGGAGGGGGACCTGGTTCCACCCTCTCTCCGGGTCCTAGCCCGGGGCCCTAAGCGTCGGGGCTTGCTTGTGCCCCGACGCGGTAGACGGGGATCACTTCTGCTGTAACCCGTCTACCCACGGACACCAAAAGGGCCCCGCCCCGGGCTTCTTCCTCCCTTCCCCAGTAGCTTCGTACCACGGTCCCAGTTCTCAGAGCTTACCCTGGTTCAGGAGTCCGGGTCTGGAGTCGCTCCAGCGATGTCTCGCGGGTCTGTTCCCTTCGCCGGGTCCTATCTTTACCGGTCTGTTTTCTCCAGGGCTGGCGGGGAGGGGTCCAATCTCCGTCGGAGCCAGGACTGGTCAACCGCAAGTTGTGGTGGCTGTCCCGGGATCCCCTGGGACGAGGCCGGGCTGCCTGCCGGTCTCGGTGCCGCTCAGGGTCCGTTTTGCACTCGGGGGTTCTCCTCACTGTCTGTGAGGAGGCTGCCCCCTCCCTTGCTGGCGGTGAGCCTTTTTAAAATGGCCCACCGTGCCGGACGCCGCCCGGGGTTCCTCCCCTCCCAGTGGCACGCCGACGTTCTCAGCAGCCACCCAGCTGCATGGCCCTGCCCCGCCCAGCGCGGCCTCCAGGGAGGGCCCAGCAGTTCTCTGCCGGTGCAGCTGTGGAGGCTGAGCGTGGCCCCACCGGCTTCCCCTGCCCGTGCCAGGGCCGGTGGGAGGGGCTTGGGCCGCGCTGCCGCTTTCCGCAGCCTGGCGTCCCAGGCCGTCTCCCGTGTGGGTTACTGGCGGCCCGTCACAGGCATGTATCTTCTTGACCTGGGACCTATATAACAAGATGACCAAAGTTCCCTTTCATGGTAGCAGGAAGTGCTGTACTTTTCACCCATTGGTTATTCCTTGGACTTTACTCTGAAGTCAAGTTCCCTGGATTGCTGAGTGATCTCGGTCTACAAAACCTTCTTCAGTACACAGTCAATAGCCTTTTTCAAATAGAAGAATTTCTTCAGGCCCTTAATTTTCTGTGACCCACAGGCTTAATCTTCCCAGCATCCTTCAGACAGCATTTTCTACTCAAGGACAGCTCTTTAAAGCCCTTTTTTTAGGAGTACACTGAACTCTAGTATTACCTCTCCATCTACCAACTCAGTGGGAAGAGACTGTAGAGGCCCAAGGCTCTTCCCACTCACAGCATTCTTAATAAAAACATTGTCAGGTCTTAAGATTTGCTAATAGCCAGGACTCCTCTCCCTCACTTCAGCAGTGAGTAAAACCAGTTGGATCATATACTAACCTGAAGGAGTCACAAACTATTCAACATTTACTTTAGCTTCTTAAAGGGCTTGAGTTTTTTCCTCCTTTTTTTCCTTGTAACAATTTGCTGTGTCAGGGAGAAATACTCTAGGAATGGGGGCAGGGGTAGGGCAATTTAAAATGGCAGTGGGGTGTGAATTTTACCTCTGATGGCAACAAACTCAGATATACTCATTGCATACTTATCCACCCTTGGTCTCATATGTGCTATGCTATTCTTTATTCCAAAGTATTTATGGGTTTTGTCTCCTTGGAATATATTTAGTTAGCACTTTCAGTTGTGGTGTGCAACAACATAGTTTTCATGTGGCATGCATAATGCAACACACCAACTTATTATGCCTGCTTTGGATGTTTTTTTAGACAAGTGGAACATATGGCCCTATTATTGATTGCATGGGTTCAGACTCAATGGCATTTACATTCTTTATCAGGAAATTAGTTAGGTACTGCTAAGCATAAGCATATGGGGAATGGTATATCATGGACAGTAAAGCCAGATGGCTGCTGTGTTGAACTAAATAGGCCTAGTGTTTGGGAAGGCAGCCAAAAATGATATTTTAAAAACTTAAGTATTATATTTTTTCTGATTTGCATTGTGGATTTTTTTAAACTCAGACCCTGTTGCTTAAGAACAAAGTACATTGGGGGAACTTTATTGTTGTTATGGCTCCACTGAAGTCAGTGAAGTGGCACGGTGGATGAATATGGTCCATTATGAATAACAAAGTAGCAAGCACTGGTAGTAGATGGCAGATAAGTGGAACTGTTCATTTTTCTGGCACTAAGTTTTCACAGACAAATCAGTGAATGTATAGTTTTACAGGCTTCGTAACTATATTTATGTGAACAAAGAGCCTTAAGCATAAGTGAGAATACCCATTTCCTTAACACTTTCATGGCTGTCAATGTAGCCATTGCATATTTTTCTCTTTGCTTTTCTCAAACCTATTTAATTTCATTTCAGTAATTTCTATCAAATCATCCACCTGGTGGTCTAGGGGCAGCTTGTTGTGTATATAATTAATCAGCATAATCTCTTCACTGACATCCTATGGGATTCAGATACTATGATGATGATGATGTAGTAGTGTAAACACCCTACAGATTAGTGAGGAAGCCTCTGTCTGTGATCTCTGCACATTTAGGTCTTCATGGTTTTCAAGAGATGTAAGGTAAATTTGGTGAAGAGATCTGGGGTGAACTGCTTTTTGTAACATCAATTCATTTGGATGAAATTTAGAAAGTAAACGGTAAATGTAAGTAAAAACACACACAATTATTCATGCTCAGTATCTCCTCTGTGATATCTATACCACTGCTAGAGACAACATACTGTGTGAGCACCTAATAAGATAAAAGCTTGTTGCATCAAGTGCAAAATGAACCAGCAAATGCAGTAATTAACCTCCCCCATGAAGTAGGAAGTTTCTGTAATGCTTATGTTGTAGAATTCCTGGGCAGTTTAGTACTTGTCTTCCTTGCCTTTCATTGTGTGCAGTGCGCATCTGTTACTTTGTGCAACTCAAGAAATAAATGGGTCAAAATAAAAACAAAATGTATCTCTTTTTAAATAAATCAGTTACATTTCAATGAAGAGGTATGGAGAGAATGATCACCTAAGAAAGCCATGCCTACAAGCAAATAAATGCAGCCTCTGTGATTGTTCTGAAATGTTCCTATGAGACTTGAGTCAGCAAAGCACTTAGGCACATTCTTAAGGCCCATTGAAATCAATGGGATTTGTTACCCATCCATAAGCGGTTTGGTGGTGAAAGTTAAGTCCTCTGCAGAATTGTGGCATCAGTCCAGTTTGCCCTTTGAATCATTTGTTTCTCCAGTAGCAGTGGTGGCAGCCCGGATCTCCAGGCCCCTTAGAATCGCCAGGCCCCAGGGAAATTGTCCCCTTTGCCCTCTCCCACCGGCGGGCCTGCCGGAGAGTCATCCTGGAAATATCCTATCCCACGGTCCCTTCCTGCAAGAAGGGAAGGTCTGGGCCATTAATATTTATAAAGCAGAATATTTTTGTGAAGGCTGCTATTTCATTGATCATTCCGCATTGTCAGAGGTATCAACTGTTCCCTAAGTATCCCAAGTAAAATACTTTCCACAACAATAGCTATCAAAATGCTAAGAAGCAGAGGTTTAGTGGCAAGCCATGTAGTCTGTCGTTTGACCTTTTTGTGGCTAGGAGGCACAGAATTTCCATGAACATAGAAATTCCTATAAATGCAAATAACTACATTTCAGGAGGAGACTAAGTGTCGTTATATCTTAATGTCTATGCGTCTCTGTATGTAGTAGGATACAATCCAGCCTAATGAGCAGCTGTGCCAACCTTGCTCAGCTCCATTGGTGCCCCACAATGGCTTGCTGAAGTACCTCCCACTTGGGCCTCTCCCAAACAGCCTTCTAGCTGCAAGCCACTGACATCTGCATACAACTTCAGCCTGCCAGCCTTGCTAGGGTTACACTCTGGCTCTCACCAGCCTTGATTATTCTGCCAGATGACCCCAACACAGCTCCAGTTTTAGATTTTCCCTGTGTCAGAGCATACTACACATTGCTTCTCTTTCTTTCCCATGAATATTTTTGTTAGTTTTTTCCTTAGTCTGATGTAAGCTATCCAGGTTGAAAGTATATCTCTGCCAGTTTGGATATTGTAAATAGAAGAGCTATATTATTGGCCCTTAATACCACCTACATCCTACCTTTTCGTAGAATGAGATAGATGGGGAAAACTCACTAGGAGCGTGCGGCACTTACTATTTGAGGCTCAATTGCATTTTTTTTTACCATACCTCACTCATGGTAGCTTAATCCTCATTAATATGCCAAGGTTTCCAGCCTGACCTGTGTGGAGCAACAATCCAGACTTCACCTAGACTTCACGAGGCACACCTCTGGGAAGGCAACAGAACAGATGTATTTCATTATCCACTTTGTAAGGCAGTATCCACTTGTTCTGCCAGTATAATAGAATTAAAGCTCTATACAGATACAAAATTTGTATCTATCTGTAGCTGCAAAAATGAGTTTTGGATAACCTCACTGGCATTCGTGAATGTGGATGCCCAAAGATATAAAGATATAAATTTGCTGGGTTCTAGATACAAAATTTGTAGCCACATGCATATCCACCAAAATGAGCTGCAGATATCCACATCTGCGGATGCATATACCCACAGATATAAATCAGACAGTCGCAGATTTGCCAGACTCTAAATAGAATATCAGCTGCTAGGCTCTATATAGTTTTTACTAAGTAGCTCTTGACCACCGTCTTACTATATGCCATTCAGTAAACAATATGATCTGAATATACCGGATTTGAAATAGTCGTCTATGCAAATATGCTGTTGACTTTTT